CTAAACCCTAAACTCAAAGCAAACCCCGGAAGCTTAAACTCCGTGCCCTTAGAGCGGGAACTCGGGGTATAAGTCCGTTTCGATGGCACGAAGAGTTTGAGTGTTAGGGTTCAGGGTTTAGAGTTTAGGGTTTAGGGTTTAGGTTTAGGGTTTTTGGGGTGTGCACAGGCTTAAGTATCATAGACATTTATCTGATTTGGGGGATTTCTGAAATCCAGAGTTCGGGTTAATTAGGTTCTAAACCCTAAACCCTAAACCCTAAACCCTAAACCCTAAACCCTAAACTGTCGGGTGGCTTTTGGAGCCGTTTGCATGGCACTCTGTACCCAAAATGGCCACATCACAGGCTTTCTTTGGGGGTCGCTTTGCCCCCTAGCCCCGAAACCCTAAACCCTAAAACCCTAAACCCTAAACCATAAACCATAAACCCTAAATCCTAAACCCTAAACCTAAACCCTGAACCCGAACCCTATAACCCGACAGGTTGCGCATGGAGCGCACCCGCCCCGGCGCTGGCAAGGAGCTTGTCCTTTCACAGGCAGAAGCGGCTCCGGTCGTGGGTTTAGGGTTTAGGGTTTAAGGTTCAGGGTTCTGGGTTTAGGGTAGGGCAGCTTTGCACTCAACATGTAATGAATGAATCATTGGGCTTATTGCAGGGAGACGAAGGCAACTCCTCAGAGTCATCTGAATAAGTGGGCCAGGGAGAGCATGGTCTGTCCCCAGCCTTGTAAACCTGAAGCCATAAAAGGGCTGGCTTTAGGGTTGAGGGTTTAGGGTTAGGGTTTAGCGTTTAGGGTCCTTGAGTGCATATAATCAGGAGTCCTACTTACTCTAGAAAAGCTAACAGCGGGAGCATGCTGTCATGTCGTGTCGCTGACGCCGTGCAGACGACGCCTCACAAGCGGCATCGGGCAGCGATCAAGATCCAGGTACACCACGCGCCCCCGGGCCTCAGCTGTGTGTTCTTGCCGGCCTGCATGCTAGCTACATATTGTAGGGCTTCCCTAGACCCTGCAGGTAGACTAAATGCCCCCAATGAAGTACCTTGAAGTGCTTACTCAGAGGGAATATCTTGAAGCCTTTTGGTCTTTCAGCTACCATGCGTCCCACAGTCTGAGCTGTAGTTGCACAGGGCACGTGTTGATGTCTGAGCTGGAGGAACAATCGGCAGGTCGTAGGTTTGTATGGAGACCTGGGAAAGCTGAACTCGAAGCCCGGAATCCAAGATTGATGACCTCACTCTTTGCAGTTTGTTCGGCAATTTCACCGCGGCTAGCGGCTTCTGTTTACGGAGGAGATGTCCTTAGTGCTGCAAGCGTTTGGGGTTTAGGGTTTAAGGCACATGGTGCTCGTTCCTACAAGGAGCCTCTCAGTCTAAATGGGAGTTTGCGACAATAAGGGACTCTTAATATAGACTCCCAAATAGTAGGATTAAAAAAAGGACCTCAATAAGGTACCCCTCATTCGGAAACCCCAAGTTGTTGCATGTTGTTGTGGGGGGGTAGGGGCTTCCGAATGGTGTGCGTTGCCATGGAGCCTCATCCTAAAGGGTACCCCCGCCACAATTTCGGGAACCCCCACATGAAGAGTCGCTCTCCTGTTGCCCGAATCTGGCTTCAACAGAGCTGTAGGGTTTATGGTTGAAAATGTTCCTGTGCAGGGATTAGGTCTGAGGGCTGGAGATAAACTTGCATGGAAATCCCGGGCAAGTGACCGAACACGAAAATTCTCTCAGGCACATGCTTCATCCCACGCCCTCAGCATGTCTACTCTGTGCACGGCTGCGCCTCGTGGGTACACGTTTAAGATTTAGGAAGACCTGTGCGAGGGATGTGTGTTGATCATGTGCCATCCTTAAAGCCGACATCCGCTTTCTCTAGGCTGGCCTGTGTGTGTGTGGGGGCCGCATTTGAAGAAATGAAGCATCTTTCACACCCCACCCCACTCCAGGCCCCTCATCATGGCCCGCTGACAACCGGCTTGATCCTAGCTCCTATGCTTTCATTCAGTGGCTTCTGTTGCGAGTGGCCTGGTGTCTGCCATGGGCTGGAAGACCACCGAGCCTTGCTTGAGACGTGCCTGAAGGCCCGAGTGCCGTCGTCCATGCGGGTGCTTCCCTAAACCCTAAACCCTAAACCCGACACCCTAAACCCTAAACTCCATAGCCTCGTACTGGAAATCTCTGGTGGTTGGCCCCCTTGTGGGATACTGCAAACAGACGGGCCGCAACTTCCACAACCTGAGAATCTGGCAACAAATGGGGTATTTCGAAAAAAAGGGGGCTACCCTGAATATACCCCAAAGTAGTATATAATCCCAACATGGTACTCGCATCCCTTAATATACCCCAAAATAGTATAATCCTCATAAACAGGAACCCCCCCCAAAAGAGCTCAGGGCCTAAAACCCTAAAATCCTAAAACCCTAAAACCCATAAAACCCTAAAACCTGCCGAAAACCTAAAACCCTAAAACCCTAAACCCTGTTTTCGGAAACCAACAAATCGAGGGCCTCAGTTGCAAAGCGCCGCCAGGAGGGCATCCATGTCGTGTGGTGAGCTACTTGGTGAGGCCGTCCTTGCAGGGCTGAGGGCTTAGGGTTTAGGGTTTGGGGTTTTGGGTGGGTGATTCAAGGGATTTTAAGGGCCTAGGGTTAAGTTAGGGGTGAAGCCCGAAACCTGATGGGGCGCCGGGCACACACAGCCCTCGGTCCCAACATCCGAAACCCTTTTCATCTACAGTAACCCCCAGAACATGGTTTCAGGAGGATTAGAGCTGGATTCCCTTTGGTAACCCTCTTGGGGTATGAGGGTAGTGATGTTCCAACTTTTGGGGGGTTTACTGTAAGGGAAGTTACATGGCCCCTGGCCTTTAGCCACAGGGAAGTTACATGGTCCCTGAATATGGGTTTAGGATAACCCTAAACCCTAAACTTTAGGGCTTAGGGTCCCATAACATGGCCCCACACCTTCCTTAAAAGAGTTCTGAGGTATGGGCCCTGGGGTCTTATAGGGTTTAGGGTTAGGGTTAGGGTTTAGGGTTTAGGGTTTAGGGTTTAGGGTTCAGGGTTTAGGGTTTAGGGTTTAGGGTTTAGGGTTTAGGGTTTAGGGTTTAGGGTTTAGGGTTTAGGGTTCAGGGTTTAGGGTTTAGGGTTTGGGTTCCGAATGAAGGGCCCATGCTACGGGACCATGTAACTACCTAAAGGGATCATGCAACTACCCTAGTAAGATTCATTGCTTCTCTTAGTAGCTGAGTAGGTAACCTTTAACCTTTTGGGGTGTCGATAATCCTAGCATAATTGAGAGGTTAACCTTGTATGGCCCAGGGTACTCAGCAACCAGGTTCTCATTATTCCCAGTATGTGCACTACTTGGCACATGGGCCCTGAGGAATCTCTTGGGGCAGCAGTACGATCATTATTCTTCTTGTTTGTATCGCTGCTACCATATGGGTAGTTCTCCAAAAGAGGGTCCCTTTTGTCGGAGGTGCCACATTATATCCCCCAAAAAGGCACCCGAATTTGCAGAGCTGCCCTTCTCACTATAATCATGACCACGCTCTCAGCCTTGCTTTGTTTGCCGGCAAAGTTGTAAGTTGGGATGTTGAAGGCCATGATGGTATGCCGCCATAGGTCTGAGGGTCTGAGTAGAAAGTTTCAGCTCTTCAGTCCTTGTAGCAGGGTTTTAGGGCAGGAGGGGGGGGGGGGTTCAGGGTTACCCTAAACCCTAAACCCGAAGCCCTAAACCCTAAACCCTAAACCCTCAACCCTAAACGGGTTAGACATTGCTGCAGCTGTACCATCCTTGCATACCCAAGTTCAAAATCCCAAACCTCCCCAAGGCAGCACCCCAGCCTTCCTGGACTTTTCGCACCTGCACGTAGCGCAGTATCCTTGTCACCTTGGGGTTTAGGGTTTAGGGTTTAGGGTTTAGGGCTTAGGGTTTAGGGTTTAGGGTTTAGGGTTTAGGGTTTAGGGTTTAGGGCTAGTGGTACGCTATTGCCATTTTTTGGATAAAGCAACCAACCAAAAAACGGGTTGCCCTTATGTTAGGTTTGATGCAGGTTTTGTATAGGATTTATTTCGGATTATATGGGGTTGATGGAGGGTTTATAAATATATATATATATATATATATACATATATAGTAGGTTTGTATGGGGTTGTGTAGTGTTTATATAGGGTTTATACAAGTCCCAGGCCGTATTAGCAGTTCTATCATGGCATCGAGAGGGTGTGGAGTTGAGGTTTCATTGTTCCGAGATCGGATTGTTGGGATAAGTGTTTAAGTTTGGTGTTGTATCGGACAAAAGCGCCCTAACCTAAGATGATTCCAGGGTGAGTCCAGAGTGGGCCTTGCCTCTACGGCGACCTCCACCATCGAGGCAGACGCGGGGTTTAGGGTTTCGGGTTTAGGGTTTAGGGTTTAGGGTTTAGGGTTTGGAGTTTATGTTTTAGGGTTTAGGGTTTAGGGTTTAGGGTTTAGGGTTTAGGGTTTAGGGTTTAGGGTTTAGGGTTTAGGTTTCAGGGTTTGACTGTATTTGGGGTTTGGAGATCGTTTGATGCTTTCCGAAGTTCCCTGACGCTGCTCGTCCGCATATCCACACGAACTACCCTGTTCCTGCAGTTTGTCATGTGTTTCCTCCGCCTATATGTTTTGTTTTTGTTGTGAGCGGTCCGGCCTCGTCTGACCCTAAACCCTAAACCCCAAACCCCAAACCCTAAACCCTAAACCCCTTCAGTCCCTTCAGATTCAGGCAGCTTGTGGGAAAGTTCACAGACCGTGGCATCACACCTCCAAGCTCACTGGTATTGCTGCCCAGGCGAAGTCCACTCATCAGAATTACGTACCTAAAGAATAAGGGAATGTTCTTAGTTTGTTCTGGGAGGTTTAGGGTTTAGGGTTTAGGGTTTAGGGTTTAGGGTTTAGGGTTTAGGGGGATACATTAAGGGTCTGATTTAAGGGTCTGATCACGATGCTGTAACTCTTTTCGCGACCAGTCATGGCTTGTCTCATGCGCGGATGTCCTTGGCCGGCCTCGTCCCGTCCTTCGAACTCGAACGGCGCAAAAGTTCCATGTGTGAGCATGGCGGCAGAACGTCTGCTGCTCGTGCACGCGATCCTGGCTCCCTTCGTCCCCGCCAGAAGATTCGGAGGATCTTTTAGCCGCTTGCGCCTACGACGTCGGCTTCGCAGTCGTAGCCTCACTGGCCCGCTTCAGGGCCCATCTGTTGGAAAGAAGACACGAGGACGTCTGAATGCTTCTGTCGGTGGCTGGATGGATCAACTCCCAGACGAAGATGTCCTGCGCCAACTGATATCAGAGCAATTCGCGCAATGGTCAAGCCTACCCATCTCGAAGGTCCTCCCAGGTGGATGGGACAACGTGACATTTCGCCTGGGAGGCCACATGCTCGCAAAGCTGCCGCGCAGTCAGGCATACAGCTTCCAAGCCGAACGAGAGCACTTTGCCCTCCAGGCTCATCTGGGCAGGATCGGTGCTTTCGAAGTTCCCCAGCCAGTTGCTCTGGGGAAACCTAGCACCGTCTTTCCTTATCCCTGGTCAATCCTGAGATGGATTGAAGGCGAACCAGTCCTTGATGTGTCAAAGCCACATGACCTTCCAAGGGCCTTGGCCGAGTTCTTGCTTGCTTTGCATTGCCCTGCGCCCTCGGAGGCACCGGAACCCGGGTCTGCGAATTTCTGGCGCGGCGGTCCGCTCTCGAGCCTCACTGCCGACTTCGAGAGGGCGCTCGCAACCTTGCCAGCACACTTCGATCGGGAGCAGCTAAGAGCGATCTGGCACGGAGCTCTTGCCACCACGGCAGCCGGCGCTCCGGTGTGGGTGCATGGCGACATCGCCCCGACGAATCTCATCACACGCGGAGGGCGACTGGTCGGGGTGATCGACTTTGGACTCATTGCTGCGGGTGACCCCGCCTGTGACCTTGCCATTGCTTGGCTGGCTTTCGATGGGGACTCGCGCGAGTCGTTCTTGACTCGCTATGGTGCAGAGGACCTTGGGGACGAAATGGACCCTAAACTTGGGGTCATATACCCTACACAACTATAACTCCTATTATAAGGTAATGTGAACCATAAGCCCTTTTAGGGTTCATGTCGTCCCCAAAGGATGGTGGTCTTGAGACCCGAGCACGAGCCTGGGCTTTGTGGAAGGCGGCGCTGGTCTTAGCCGGGCAGTCGCAGCCAGTTCCTGGATGTTGCGACGCAGCGCTTACAGTCGACATGATTCTTGAAGAGGCTAGAGCCGAAGAGTGAAAAGTCCCCTAAACCCTAAACCCTAAACCCTAAACCCTAAACCCTAAACCCTAAACCCTAAACCCTAAACCCTAAACCCTAAACCCTAAACCCTAAACCCTAAACCCTAAACCCTAAACCCTAAACCCTAAACCCTAAACCCTAAACCCAAGTCAGACATGGTGATTCTCTCACGAAACTTCAGGGTTTTCGGAAGGTTGGCCTGGGAGATCTCCCTCCATTTGCACGCGTTTGCGCGCCTGCGATGACGGGTTGCGCTCGGTGACAGGCTAAGCATCCAGAAGCATCCAGAAACTTGAGAAGGAACGAATCCCTTTCAAAGAACTGGTAAGCTGCCACGCGTACCAGTTATTCCCCGATATGACCCCTGAATTGAGATTCCTAAACCCTAAGTAAACCCAAAGCGACCCTAAACTCCCCCTAAACCCTAAACCCATGAAGCTCCAACTTTTTCTCCAGGATGTGTGGCAGCCTTTGCTTAGCGGTGCTCTTCAGGACATCCCGGATTCGGGTTGTGGCTTTAAGACATGAGGAAAACTTTGCCACATTGCGTAAGGTTTGGGATTTAATTAATTAATCAAGGTTTAGGGTTTAGGGTTTAGGGTTTAGGGTTTAGGGCTTAGGGCTCCCCTATCTACGTAACCCAGACACACCCAAAAGCCAACTTTCCTGGATCCGCTACATGGACCTGCCCCCTCTTCAACCTAAAACCGAAATCCCTAAATCTCTAAACCCCTAAACCCTAAAACCGAACTCCCAAACCCTAAACCCTAAACCCTGAATCCCTGAATCCCTGAATCCCTGAATCCCTAGACCCGAAACTCCACAACTCAAAAGCAGCGAAGATGGGGTCCTTCCCCGGTCTGCTCTTCGTAATTCCTTGCGGGGCGCAGAACTGGAGCTCCCCAAGGCGTGGTTTAGGGTTTAGGGTTTAGAGTTTGGGGTTTAGGGTTTGAGGTTTGAGGGTTAGGGTTTGTGGTTTAGGGTTGTCAAAATCACCTACATAAGCCCTGATAACTGAAGGCCTTTAGGGTCCAAGATGCATCTTTGCAGGGTTGGAGGTTTAGGGTTTAGGGTGCAGGATTTCGTGCTTATCGGGGTTTAGGACCGCGCCCAAAGCCTGTGCCCTTAAGGCACGGGTGAGCACCTCAAGTATATGGCCTCTTCCTTGGGTGCCGCAAATCGAACCAAACAATGGGGGACAGAATCTATACCCTAAGCCCTCCGAAGCCCTCCGAAGCCCTCCCCAACCCTCCTACATCCTCTTAAATCCTCCTAAGCTCCAAAACTCTTAACCCTAAACCCTAAACCCTCCTAAATGCTAAACTCTAAACTCAACGCCTCGAAGGAGTTCGATCATCGCCTGGCCCTAAGCAGGGTGTAGGGCTCATTCCGGGAGCTTCGGGTCAGCGCGGCTCGTGGGGTTTGGGGGTTTCAGGGTTTAGGGTTGTACATGCATAGATGGTTTAGGGGTTCAGAGGTTAAGGGTTTAGGGCCAGGGTTTCAGGGTTTGGCATCTAGGATCTCAGGCGTTTAGGGTTGAGAGTGGAGGGTTAAGGACTTCAGGGCTTCAGGACTTCAGGGCTTCAGGACTTCAGGGCTTCAGGGTTTCATGGTTGTTGAGGGTTTCCGGGTTTCCGGGTTTCGGGCTTCAGGCGATTTGGGGTTAAACATTTCCAAACCAACCCTGTAAAGGGCATCCTTGTAGCAAATGCAGGGTATAGGGTTTAGGGTTTAGGGTTCAGGGTTTGCCGTCCTGGTATATCAGGTCTGGACATCGGTCGGCACACCCGGCTGTTGCAAGAAGCGGACGCCTGGATCTCATTCTCTGGGACCGGCAGGGGTTTAGGGTTTAGGGTTTAGGGTTTAGGGTTTAGGGTTTAGGGTTTAGGTGCTGGAGAAGTTTTGGGTTGCGTGGCTGTTTAAGAAGCTGCATAGGCAGGTTGATGTCACTCTTATCTTGGAAGCAGCATGCATACCTGCCTGCCAGACTGCAATGCACTGCCTCCACGACTTCCCATGTGACCGCATGCGCTGGCGACCCTAAACCCTAAACCCTAAACCCTAAACCCCAAGCAATTAAGTATGCACCGTGCCCGTGCGCAGCGAAGAGCTTGATTTCTGTCTCTTCCCCACGCCAGAGTGTCTAGAATGTGGACCAACACTCACCCCCTTGAGCCCTAAACCCTAAACCCCAAACCCTAAACCCCAAACCCCAAACCCCAAACCCTAAACCCTAAACCCTAAACCCTAAACCCCAAGCTGGTTCTAGGGTGTATAGGCAAAACCCCAATCCCCTCCTGTTCCGAGCACCACCCCGGCACTGCGCGATTGTCAGATTTGCACCTATGTCCCGGTGGAGAGACTCACCGGGGCCATCCAGCGAGCAGGGACCTGAGCCCCAATTTCAGGGGTTTAGGGTTTAGGGTTTAGGGTTTAGGGTTTTGGGTTTTGGGTTTGGGGTTTAGGGTCTAGGGTTCAGGGTTTAGGGTTTAGGGTTTCGGGTTTAGGGTTTAGGATCCCTTTGAAGGGGTCTATGTTTAGAAAGGGCCTCTCTAACACAGTCACTAACACAGTCAGCTACAAGGGGTCCCACCCCGGTGTGAGGGAGGAGCTTGAAGCAGCTCTTCGTCTCACCAAGAAAAACCCAACCTATACACTCACCAATTCTTGTATGGAACCCTATAATTCGGCAGTCGCCAAAAAAGCAGTATCAACGACCCGACACCCAGAATCCAACGCCCAAAAGCCTTATAAACCCTAATCCCTAAACCCTAAACCCTAAAAGCGCCCTGAGGAGATGCAGAGCTCTGCCAGGACGGGGTTCGGGTTAGGCTATGGGGTTCATAGGGCATGTAGGGTTTGGGGTTTAGGGTTTAGGGTTTAGGGTTCGGGGTAAGGCTTTAGGCTTTTTTTTTTTTTTTTGGGGGGGGGGGGGGGGGACTTGATTGTTTTCGGGTTTTCGGGCTTCAGGGTTCAGGGCTTTTGGGGTTTCGGGTTCAGGAAGGTCATGGTGCTTTCGATGGTCCTGCGAGCTGCTGGCCTTACACAGTAGGAAGCTCAAGGCCCCGAAGGCCCTGAAATCGATAGAGCGCCTGTAACCTCAAGATACCCTAAGCCCTGAACGCTAAATACTGTTAACTCAGTAACTCTTCATCCTAAGAAGTAAGCCTATCTACGGCCTGAATGGCGACCATTCCAAAGAGCCCTCTAAGACCTTATGATCCCAATAAGCCCTGGCCCTAGAAATCCTATATAAGCCCTACAAGTTATGTAGAACAGAATCTCAAGCCCTATTCAGAAGCCCCAAAGCCCTAAGCCCTACACCCTAAAAGCCCTAAACCCTAAAAATCTAAAAACCCTAAACCCCAAAAGCCCTAAAAACCTTTAACAACCCTAAAAACCCAAAACCCTAAACCCTAAACCCTGAACCCTGAACCCTGAACCCTAAACCCTAAACCCTAAACCCTAAACGCTAAACCCTAAACCCTAAACCCTAAACCCTACACAAGCCTTCAGAGCACCCCCTTCAAAGCAAGAGGACCTCCTCGAAAGTGACCCTTGAGTCGGGTCGGGACCTGGCCACGGTGGTGTGCGGCCAAGGGGGTTTGGGGTTTAGGGTTTAGGGTTTAGGGCTTAGGGGTTGGGGTTTAGGGTTTGGGGAGTAGGGTTTAGGGTTTTGGGATTAGGGGTTTAGGTTTTGGGGTTTACGGTTTGGGGGTCAGGGCTTTGGGTTTTGGGTTTGGGGTTTAGAGAGATTAGGGGTTTAGGTGCTTAGGGAGCTTGGGGGTTTTAGGGTTTTGGAGTTTAAGATTCAGGGGCTTGGCGTATAGATTTAGGGGTTCATAGGGTTGTGGGAGGCACTGTTCTCCATGGCCGTCTTCTTTGAAGCTGTCAGACTGGACCCTACACCCTAAACCCTAAACTGCCTGCATCAAGCTTGGGCCACCAGGCAGTTCTTTCCAAGAGCTCCCCGTCTTGAAGCTTCCCAAGCCGTTTGTTTTTGTTACAGGCAAGGCGCTGTGATGAGCAAATCCTCAGCGCCCATGTGCCTGAACGTTATGAACTTGGGCCCCAAAGGCCTTCTGTAGGAGCCACTCTACTTCAACGCCCAGAGGGGGTATAAGGACTGTTAGTATAAGGGGGATGAAACCCAAGCATATTACATGTAAGTATTCCCTCAGGGTTCCTTTATAACTATACTATAATAACCCCCAAAACCTTGTTCTAATTATTCAGGCCCCTACAGTACTCGAGCCCTTAGGGCTCAACCGCAGCAGCAGGAGCATGGAGCGAAAGCTGAGGCCTACGACCTCGCTGCTTTTGTTGGACATGAGGGCCCGCCAGAAGCTCAGGCGGCGTGTCTTCTTAACCCGAAACCCATAAACTCATAAACCCATAAACCCTACGCTTCCCAAACTCAAAATCCTAAACCCATAAACCCAAGCTTCTTAACCGAACTCTTAACATATAGCCCGTAAGCCCTCCACTTCCGAAACCCCAAGCCCCTTGTCAAGATAACACACCCTCCTCCAAGCAAGGCATCCCGAAGTCGACTCTCTACTGGGAGGCTCATAGGCACCCATGTGGGTTTAGGGTTTAGGGTTTAGGGTTTAGGGTTTAGGGCTTCAGGGCTTCGGGGTTTAGGGCTGGTTATCACCCCAAACAACAACTGCACTTCTGAGCCCCCCCTAAGTCCCCCCAAGTAGGTTAGATGCAGATGTATACTTAGGGGTTATTAGTACCCCTAAACCCTAAACCCTAAACCCTAAACCCTAAACCCTAAACCCTAAACCCTAAACCCTAAACCCTAAACCCAAAATCAAGTATGGCTTGCGCTGAGGTACACCCTCCACGAGATCTACCAAGCCTTTAGCTTCTGCGACAAGATCGCAGTGATTCAGCAACAGGCGATCAAGGCGCCGCCGAGGTGAGCCGTATAGTAGGGTTAGGGTTTAGGGTTTAGGGTTTAGGGTTTAGGGTTTAGGGGTTAGGGGTTAGGGGTTAGGGGTTTAGGGGTTAGGGGTTAGGGGTTAGGGGTTTAGGGTTTAGGGTTTAGGGTTTAGGGTTTAGGGTTTAGGGTTTAGGGTTTAGGGTACCGCCGTATAGACCTGAACCACCATGGGTCGCAGGGTTTTGTGTTTGGAGCTTTCGCAGCAGTATTGTCGGAAGTTTTCGAGAATGAGAGGCATATAGTCGTGCGAATGTTCCAGCAACCTTTGCACATAACACTGCAATCTACCCGAAACCCTAATCCCTTCCTCCTTATATGAGTACACCCTAAAAATAAGCCCACTGTAGCCCCAACAGCAAAGAAGACTAAAGATGCTTCAGCCCCGGACGCGATGCGTTCATGTATTATATATAGTTTCCAGGCTTTTGGGAATTCGCCTCGGTTTCCTGCCGAGAAGCGTCTGGAACAAGCAGACCCGGATCGGGCCTCCGTCCCCCTCACCAAAATTTTGCGGCGCCCCCGCCCTGTGGGACCCCCCCCCCCCCATCGCTTGGAGGAGCTGTCGGCGGCTCCCACAGAAAAAAACGCCGCAAAACGCCGCACCCCCCCCCCCCCCCCGCCCCCTTAAACTCCCTACGATCATCCCCTCTTTTTGCAGAAGCCCTCTTTCCGTCTTTCCTGCTGGGGCCGGCCCGGCTGCCGAGGCGGCGCGCGCAAGCATGTACAATTACAAAAGTTCACAAAGTCTTCGCTGCTGGGCCAAAACACCACAAATCCCGCGCGGACCTGCGCGGACCCCTGGTTTTGTCGGGAATTTAGCTCCAGGCACCAAGCGCGGACCATAAAAAACCTCGACAAAACAAGCGCGGACCTCCGTCCGGGCTTTTCGGAATTACAAAGGTTAACAAAGAACCACGTACTGCTGACAATGGAACAGAGACCTTGCATAGCTTAGCATACTGTTTGCAAAGAAGACTTAGCCTGCATCGCTGTTACACGTATTGTATACCGCCAGGCTAAGCCACTGTATGGGGGGAAAGGGGTTTCAAGCCAGCGAGCTTTCAGATGTTTTGAGCCTCCAGAACCTGCTCCGGAACCTGCTCCGGAACCCGCTCCGGAAACCGCTCCGGAACCCGCTCCGGAACCTGCTCGGAACCCGCTCCGAAACCGCTCCGGAACCCGCTCCGGAACCTGCTCCGGAACCCGCTCCAGTAGTCAAGGGCTGGAGACCCCATCGCATCGCTGTTGGGGAAAAACACCACAAATCCCGCGCGACTGCTTATGGGAATTACAAAGGTTAACAAAGAACCACGTACTGCTGACAATGGAACAGAGACCTTGCATAGCTTCGCACACTGTTTGCAAAGAAGACTTAGCCTGCATCGCTGTTACACGTATTGTATACCGCCAGGCTAAGCCACTGTATGGGGGGAAAGGGGTTTCAAGCCAGCGAGCTTTCAGATGTTTTGAGCCTCCAGAACCTGCTCCGGAACCTGCTCCGAAACCCGCTCCGGAACCCGCTCCGGAAACCGCTCCGGAACCCGCTCCGGAACCCGCTCTGGAACCTGCTCGGAACCCGCTCCGAAACCGCTCCGGAACCCGCTCCGGAACCTGCTCCGGAACCCGCTCCAGTAGTCAAGGGCTGGAGACCCCATCGCTTCGCTGTTGGGGAAAAACACCACAAATCCCGCGCGACTGCTTATGGGAATTACAAAGGCTAACAAAGAACCACGTACTGCTGACAATGGAACAGAGACCTTGCATAGCTTCGCACACTGTTTGCAAAGAAGACTTAGCCTGCATCGCTGTTACACGTATTGTATACCGCCAGGCTAAGCCACTGTATGGGGGGAAAGGGGTTTCAAGCCAGCGAGCTTTCAGATGTTTTGAGCCTCCAGAACCTGCTCCGGAACCTGCTCCGGAACCCGCTCCGGAACCCGCTCCGGAAACCGCTCCGGAACCCGCTCCGGAACCACCTGCTCGGAACCCGCTCCGAAACCGCTCCGGAACCCGCTCCGGAACCTGCTCCGGAACCCGCTCCAGTAGTCAAGGGCTGGAGACCCCATCGCTTCGCTGTTGGGGAAAAACGCCCTAACAATAGAGAGAGGGACCCTCTGGCTCCAAACCCGGTCTGGCAGTCAATCTGGGGGAGGGGGAAGCCTGAAACCTGTTGGGCCTAAAGCTTGAAACCTGCTCAATGACTGAGCCAGCAAGGTAGAAGGACGGGTTGTTGTTTTTGTTGTTCGGACAAACGATGCGAACCCCCCCCCCCCCTTTACCAAAAACCCCTTGGGGGTTTTGGGGGTTTTTGATGCTGCCGGGGGGGGCGGGGGGGGGGGCTTCGGGGGGAGGGATTAAACCCTCAACACGAAACCCTAAACCCTAAACCCAAATAAATGGCGTGCTGGCCACCTACTGGCCCTGCACTGACTCTGGCGCAGTGTGCAAGGGTTTCCCTACTACCCCCATTATACTTTAGGGTTTAGGGTTTAGGGCTACCCCCCTCTAGGTCCCCCCCCCCCCCATTGTAGAGGGCTTGTTAGCTCACCTGACTAAAGCCTGCGGCCTGCGATGGATTCGATGAACTTCGAGGTCTCATGGAATGGTGGCACTCAGCAGGTAGCTGTGGTCGCATCTACATCTGCAGCTGAAGAAGCGACGCGCTCCCTCTGCGCCTCCGGGCCATGTTTCGTGGGCTTCGACACGGAGTGGGGCTCTAAGGGTGAGGTGGCCCTGGTGCAGTTGGCCACCGAAACCTCTTGCGTCCTTTGCTTCTTAGTGGCTGAGTGAGTACACGTTACACTTTTTGGTATACGATAATCCCCCTATAGAACTCAAAGTGTACACTTTTGGGGGGCTTCTGAACTCAGCAACTAAGGCTTGCTGCCGGAGGTTCGGCTTCAGGACTGCCCTTCACTTGTGGCACTCTTCCAGGATCCACGCTTCTTGAAGGTCGGTGTGGCAGTGGGCTTGGATGCGGAGTTGCTGAAGGACTACATCGGGATTTCTTGGGGTTCTTAAGATTATATTGATAAGGGTAATATAGGGATTTCTATTTTTTATGACTACTCATTGCTTAGAGCCCCAAGAATAGCAAACATATTCTTGCTCAATAAGGGCAATATAGGGATTTCTATCTTAATTCTTTTGGGGCTCTTAAGCTTATATGATTAAGGGTACTATAGGGATTTATGTTTTTAATTCTTTTGGGGGTTCTTAGGCAAACAGTAGAGGAGCAGTTCCAAATCGAACTGAGGGGCTGCCTCGACTTGGCGAGGTTGGCTGCGCGCGAGGGCGAGGTGAGGCAGACTCAACCCATTGGGCTGGCCGCTTTGACACAGCAGCTCGTGGGAGCGGAGCTTTCGAAAGATGTTGCCATCCGCCGATCGAATTGGGCAGACCGGCCGCTTTCGCACGATCAGCTTGCTTATGCTGCCCGGGATGCGCTGGCTGGCCGCGATTGTGCGAGCGCTCTGGCTCAGAAGCATAAGCCGTCCGAAGCGAGCCTCCTTGACTGGTGCCAAGACTTGCTGGACAAAGGAAGGGACGCGAAGCCCGCAAAAGCGACTTGGTAGCCCAGTGGTACCCTATTCCCTTCTTTTTTTGGTTCAAGGTTCCCTTAATATGGTTGCTGGGCTACCAAGGTGAAGAAGTCCGCCTGCGAGGATCCACCTGCTGCGGGATCTGACTCCGGCCGGCTCAAAGCAACGTTGGACTGCGGAGCCTACTCCTGCGTAACGAAGTTCGGAATGCGAACCATTCTTGGAAGTGACGGCCAGCCACTCATGCACATGAAAGACCGGACTGTCGAAGGGCTGGTCAGGCGCGGAATGGCCTCTGTCTGCAGAGACTGGGATGCCCAGTAGTACCCTTATTCCTTTGTTTTTCGTTGGGGGTGGAAGTAGTCATTTTATTTTTAGTTTTTGGGAGGGGGTGTTTAGGTTGCCTTATTAAGGACTTCTTGTAGATCCTAGGCTACTGGGAAGCCTAGGAGAGGGAGACGCAGAAATCATCCGGCTCAACTTCACGCCGACGGATCATTACGACTATGCTGGCCTGGACGCTGCCGAACGGAATGCCTGTGTTGGCTGCGGCTCCTATGGAGTCTTAGGAGCTGAGTGAGTACACTTTACACTTTTTTGGGATACTTTCTAATCCCTATAGAACTGAAAGTGTCCACTTTGTTTCTACACTATTTTTAGAGGGCTCAGAAACTCAGCAACTAAGGAGTGGCTCGCTACTACATCGTTCCGAAGGTGTTCTTCTCCCACTTGCCAGAGACCTGCAACTCGGTCGGCCCTTGGGATATTTTATGTTTCCCCTTAATTGGGTTTAAGAGGACCATGCTTAGGACCCTAAACCCTAAACCCTAAACCCTAAACGGGTGTTAAGGGCCATCCTAGGCAAGTCTTACAATTGCCATGACGTCGTGATGCTCTGCCCACGCTGCCGAGCCATCGCCGAGCCTGCACAGATGTCACTCACACAAGAGCCTTGGGGACGAAACGAACCCCAAAATTGGGGTTTAGGGTTTGGGGTTTGGGATTTAGGGTTTAGGGTTTAGGGTTTAGGGTTAGGGTTGATTATAATTAGGTCCCCAAGGAACTCCTGGCATCGCATGGGGCGCTTCGCGCAGGATCGCTCTATGCCAATGAGAACGCCCTGACGCAATCACAGATCGCCGCGAAGAAGGCAGCCCAACCCTGAACCCCACATTTTCAAAACTACACCCAGACAACCCGGCAAAGCTGCTAAAGCACTGTAAGCCCTTTGAAGCCCTTAAACCCATGTAAGCCTTATAGACACCCCAAACCCTGTAAGCATGTAAGCCCCTGCGAACCCTAAACCCTAAACCCCAAACCCCTAAATCCTAAACCCTAAACCCTAAACCCTAAACCCTAAACCCTAAACCCCTGCGCCTCTCCCGAAGGCAGCCATCACCTTGCGGAAGTCCAAAGGGGAGAAGCCCCTCGTGCCCGCCAAATCTCAGGCCTTGCGCGAGGCCATAGCTGCGGGACCCGGGAGAGCTTGGAGAACTGCCATTTGCTTATAAGAACCCCCAGAAGGTAAAGGATCATCATAGTAATAGTCCCTATAGTGCTCCTGTAAGGAAGAATACTTTTATTTTTTTGGGGGGGTTCTTAAGCAATTGGTAGAGAAGAGTTTTTTTCTGGTCTAGGGGATGATTTAGGGCCCCCATAACCAAATAATCCTGCATAAAGGCCGTTTTTTTAAGTTTGTTTTTTTTGCATTGGGGAGGGGTGTCTAGGCATAAGTGTATTTTATGGTGGTTTAGGTTTCAGGGATTTCGAGGTTTTTTTGTTAGGAGAGGGATGTTGTGTTTGAGGATGTGTAGGCTACCCTAAACCCTAAACCCTAAACCCTAAACCCTAAACCCTAAACCCTAAACCCTAAACCCTAAACCCTAAACCCTAACGCCGCAGGATTGGGTATGGAGGCCGCGGACGTCGGAGAGGTGGCCATGGCCTTGGCAGAAGCTATGTGGGCCCTTGGGAAAGTTTTGATTTTCCCCTTGTTGGGTTTTAGAGGGCCATATTCAACCCTAAACCCTAAACCCTAAACCCTAAACCCTAAACCCTAAACCCTAAACCCTAAACCCTAAACCCTAAACCCTAAACTCTACTATGTTTCAGAGGGGTTTTAAAAGGGGGCCATCCGAGGAAAGCTTGGGTGGCGGCTGCTTGCCTAGTGAGCGGGTCGTGGCCGAGGCGACCACGAGCCCAGACGCCCGGATTGAGATGTTAAGAATGGGATTATGGTTTAGGGTTTAGGGTTTAGGGTTTAGGGTTTAGGGTTTCGGGTCCGTATACTAACAGTCCTTAATAGGGATTGTAGTGCCCCCTTATTAGGATCCCTCTTAAGGACTCTTAGTATAAGTGAGGCTCACAAAGCTTCGAGGGCTTCCAGGGTTTCGAGAGTCTCAGGTTCAAGGGACGCAAGGAGCGACCCGTATAAGGGACCTTAGGGTTTGTGGTTTAGGGTTAGGGTTTAGGGTTTAGGGTTTAGGGTTGGGGGTTACTTAGGGGCTACTTAGCTATATAGGGACTACATAAGGTACATATCTATACATAGATAAGGGCTAGATAGGGGAATAAGATTGAGGGTCACTTCTAGTTAACAAGTTTAGTAGGGGGGGTCTGAGGGTCGATCTTTGATCCTCAGAAGGCTGGGGGCTTGCATCGACGATTTGTGATTTCACGGTTTGAACTTGCAGCTAAAGGGTGGTTGTCAAAATGATGGTCCCTTTTTGGATCTTTCCAATACGGCACCGAATATTTAGGGTACCCAAAGCGGGATCATAATTTTGACAACCACCCACATGACTCTTGCACCACCTGTTCCCCAAGCCCTGAACCCCCCCCCCCCCTCACGAAAGCAAAAGAAAAAGAACAAACCTAAACCTTGGAATGTTCCCCCTGACACTACCATTCCTTCATGGGTATGATGATGGGGTACTATAATCCCATGAAGGACTGTTAGTAGAAGCGGGAACATCCCAACCTGAACCCTACATCCCACCCCTGCCTTGTGCAACCTCAAGCGCAGACGTCTCAACTCCCAAAGCTTCTTGCAAAGCACGGGCTTCGGGTCACTTTGGGAGGTTTAGGGTTTAGGGTTTAGGGTTTAGGGTTTAGGGTTTAGGGTTTAGGGTGAAAAGGTGAAGGGCTAGGTCAACCAACCCTTGTGGCTCTACCCGGCAGGACTCTTGTTATCGGATGTCTTATAATCCCTAAATCCCTAAACCCTAAACCCTAAACCCTAAACCCCACAAGTTGACAAGGGATGAGGGTATGCGATTGATTGCCGATGGCCCCAGGAGTCTCTGCGCGCCTTTCTACGGAGATGGCGGGAGACTTTTGTGCCTGCAGCCTCCTTAGAAACTATATATATGTATTCAGGGGTTTCTAAAATTAGGGTTTAGGGTTTAGGGTTTAGGGTAACTATGTAGACCGTAAAGCTTAAACTCTAAACCCTAAACCCTAAAACCCTACAACCCTAAACCCGCAACCCTAAGAGGTTGTAAGTGAAGAAGAGGTGCAGACCCTGCAGCCGAAGTTCCTGTCCGATGGCTGGAGCTTGGACACAGGCCTGATTTTGGAGGGTCTAGGGTTTAAGGGTTTGGGACTTAGGGTTTAGGGTTCATAGGGTTTAATTTAAATGGTGTAGGATTTTCATAGGTTTTTTAACAATGAGTTTTTGCAGCGGCGTGCACGCTCTGTGTGCCCTAAACGCCAAATCCCCAAATCCAAACCCTAAACCCCAAACCCCAAACCCCAAACCCCAAACCCCAAACCCTAAACCCTAAACCCTAAACCCTAAACCCTAAACCCTAAACCGTTTTGGGGTTGTAAGGGCTACCCATATTAGTTCAGAGTCAGGGTTCTGCGCTTCGCTATTCCCGGGTTGTGTGGGTTGCAGATCTGCATGCACAGGAACACGCGGTTAAGCCCGTCAACACCCCCCCCCTCCCCCTCAAATAGGCCCTTGGTGAGGGAACATGGACCGCTAAACCCTAAACCCTAAACCCGAAACCCGAAACCCGAAACCCGAAACCAGGCCTGGATGGTCGCTTCATTCCTTCGGTGGCCTCCTCATTAGAGTGGCCGGGGGACTGGCGCTGTGCATCCTGTGGCCGCCACTGCTTCGGGCGAAGCTTGGCAGCCCAGTGGTACCCTTTTCCCTTTTTGAGTTTAGGGTTTAGGGTTTAGGGTTTAGGGTTTAGGGTTTAGGGTTTAGGGTTTAGGGTTTCGGGAAACCAAGGAAGTGACCGGTGCAAATGTTGCAAGACGCCGCGGCCCAGCAGCGCCGCGCTAGCCTCTGGGCAAGCTGCTGGGATTCTGTAATATGTTCCTTGTATTTTCCTTAGCTTATGATGAATTCCTTGTAATTGTGTTGCCTCTATGTATGTCCGCTATGTGCTGTCCTCATCCATGGGTTCAAGATTCAAGAGGATCTTATCTTAAGGATATGGTTCATAGGTTGGGATGTTCTCCCTTATACTAGCAGTCCTGAATAGTACGCCCTATCATCATCCCTATTAAGGGCTGTTAGTACAAGGGGGAACATCCCAATTCATAGGGGTCAACGAGCCAGCCAAGGTCTAAAGCCCACCAGCCGCAGGCGTCATCGATCGGGTGCCAAAATTCCTGAGAGGCCCTTTGTCTGAGATCTTTAAGGGTAGTTCTACGAGGGGCGATATAGGGGTACACAAGGGGTCCCCTTTTCAGGGCCCTTGCCTCGAGTTGGCAGTGGCTGGCTACCGTTGTGGACGTCTCCCCTTCGGCCGTTGCCCGGACCGGTGACCATTGTGGACAGTGGAGGTTTGCACGAACGAAAATGGCTGCTGATATGCTCAGCTGTTGTGTTCAGCCCCTGCTGTGCAGTCGTAAAGAGGAAAGCGCAGAAGCTCATGGTGGAGAATCTGATGTGCCCCAGTGCCATGCCTCCTGACAATGTGTCACTCATGAAGGCCTCACTGCAGCTTGCTGTGGGGCACTCTTGTGTTTGCGGATCGCTCGCTAGGAGGGCTACACGCCAAGTTACCAGTGTAGCCTACTCAGCAGCAGCTCGAAAATGTGCAAGGCCAAACGGCAGGCCAGTGGCCCGACATGCTCGCCTTGACGTCTCTTCTATGGAGACCCTTTATACCCCAAAATGCTTGCGTCCTCCTTGTAGGAAGCCCAAGCAACAGGGACCCTGATTTCCCAACCTCCTAAGCAGGCCTTGCACTTTCCCCCTCAACACTCTTCCACTTGTAGCAAAGATGATTGGCATCCTAAAACCCCACCCCTGAAACTTCGAAGCGACCCAAAGCCCTAGGGTTGAGGGTTCAGGGCTTTAGGGTTTTAGGGGTATAGGGTTTACGGTTTAGGGTTTAGGGTTTAGGGGTATCCCGGTATCCCCATCCCGACGGCAGCTCCTTGTTTTTTCTACTGGGTGCCGGGTGCCCACTACCTATTCTGCATTGTTCCATCCCCGCGTTTCTTTCCTGCTTTGCGAAGTCCTCCGTCTTCCCGTTCTTGGTCTGTGAGTTCCCAAAAAGTAGACAAGCCGGTGCTGGGCCCCTAAACCCAAAACCATAAACCCTAAACCCCTCGTTGAGGAGTCTTAGGTTTCTTACACCCAAAACCCTGAAAACCCAAACACGAAAAGGGAGCGCTTGTTAGGCCAGGTCACTTGGGATCACGGCTGAAGGGTTTTGGGTTTAGGGTGTAGAGTTTAGGCTACGGGATTTTGGGCTTATGGTCTGGTTGCAGCTTCTAGCATCAAGGGTTATACAGCCGTTGTGGGGGTCATTCGTTGCTGTTCTAGAGGCCGTCTTTTCACTACTGTTTTAGTAGTCGTGCGGCTGGGCTGATCATCATCTTTTAAGTGAGAGAGCGAGAGCGAGAGACGTCCCGCATCAAAATTCGTCAACACTTTAGGGTTTAGGGTTTGGGGTTTAGGGTTTAACCCTAAACCCCAAACCCAATCCCTTCAAAAAAACAACCTCTTGAATTCGAACCCAAAGAGAACTCTAAGCCCGCCAGGCCCCCTTTGCAACCAAAACCTGCTGAATCCTAAGCCCTGAACCCTAAGCCCTCAGCCCTGCACTTTCCCTAAACCCCAAACCCTAAACCCCAAACCTAAACCCTAAACCCCAACAGCCAGGGCCTGGAGGCGGAGCTGCGGCCTGCGGGCTGCGGCCTCTTCGCGCGCATTGAGAGCCGAATGCGACTGAAGGCAGGGCTCCGGGTTTAGAGTTTAGGGTTTGGGGTTTGGGGTTTAGGGTTCAGGGTTTGGGGTTTAGGGTTTAGGGTTCAGGGTTTGGGGTTTAGGGTTTAGGGTTTAGGGTTTGGGGTTTGGGGTTTAGGGTTTAGGGTTTAGGGTTTAGGGTTTGGGGTTTGGAGTTTAGGGTTTGGGGTTTAGGGTTTAGGGTTTAGGGTTTAGGGTTCAGGGTTTGGGGTTGGGGGTTGGGGGTTGGGGGTTTCGGGTTTGGGGTTTGGAGTTTAGGGTTTGGGGTTGGGGGTTTAGGGTTTGGGGTTTAGGGTTTGGGGTTTTGGGGTTTAGGGCTTGGGGTTGGGGGTTGGGGGTTTCGGGTTTGGGGTTTGGGGTATGGGGTTTAGGGTGTGGGGTTTGGGGTTTGGGGAAGCACTGATAATATTTGCCCGTGAGAATCCCGGAACCAAAAGAATTGGAAGCTTTATCAGTCAGTGACGCATTGCACCATGGCCACAATTACAAGCCTCGAAGGGGGTTTACGGTTTAGGGTTTTCAGGGTTCAGGGTTTAGGGTTTAGGGTTTAGGGGCTGGGGTTTAGGGACTGGGTTTAGGGTTTTTTCCTCAACAACGCAATGCCCATGGCTACACAAAATGCCGGGGTTTTGAGCGCGCAAAGCATTCCAGGTCCTGAGGTCGCACAAGCCACTCTTACAAGCGAAGCTAAGGCCAGAATCTGTACAAGGTTAAACTAGGGTTTAGGGTTTAGGGTTTAGGGTTTAGGGTTTAGGGTTAGTTATGCTCTGAGATCCTGTACTTGCTGAACGCTCTGCGCTAACAGCTCAACGTGTAGATGTTGTGTTTTCCCTCTTGGGTTGAATTTGAAGAGGATCATACTTCGGAACACCTTACAGACTTACTGGCTCAAAACCCAACTTTTCAACTTTTGGGCTTCTTATAAGTTAGTAGTTTATTCTGAAAGTTTCAACTTTATTTCCTTGATTTTGGGGCCAGTAAGCAGAAGGTTTCGAGGGGTTGAGAGCACCAAGGGCCAGGAACACCCAGGGCCAAGCTAGCAAACAGCCCTGAACCCCAAACCCCAAGCCCTAAACCCTAAACCCTAAGCCCCAAACCCTAAACCCTAAACCCCAAACCCCAAACCCTAAACCCTGAACCCAGCCAGGTCGCTGAAGCGGAGGAGGCGGTTTTGGAGGCCGTGGTTGCGGAGGCGACCAAGCTGGGAGAGGTCGGCGGAGCGAAACCTGCAGGGTTTAGGGTTTTAGGGTTTAGGGTTTAGGGCTTCGGGTTTTAGTTTTAGGGTTTAAGCTTGAAGGTTTCAGGTTCAAGGTTCAGGGAGTTTAGGGACGAACTCATTGTGTTTCTGTGTTCTGTTTACGTCCAGTCTGGGCTTAGGGGAATGCTGCTCGATAGGTTTTGGGCGTGCTTTGGGGCGGTTGTAGGGCCTGCAGCTTATCAGAAGGACTACTCTAGGGTCGGAAGAATTACTAGTAGTATCCCTTCAGGATCCCTTTATATTCTACTATAATAACCCCCCAAAAAACCCTATTCTAATCATTAAGGCCCCTATATTGCAGTTTACAGCCCGGTGGGGGTGGTCCACCGGCCCTAAGTGTGTGTTTCTATCGTTTGCGCCTCGTCCTCAGTTGCCAGTAGAAACCCTTCACTCTCTCTTTTCGAGAGGCACGACAGCTACCGAACCCTAAACCCTCAAACCAACCCTCATTCCTCAACCCTAAACCCGAATCCCGAAACCCCAAACCCTAAACCCTAAACCCTAAACCCTAAACCCTAAACCCTAAACCCTAAACCCTAAACCCTAAACCCTAAACCCTAAACCCTAAACCCTAGCATGGGTACACTCGAACTTGGATCCGGAAGTCGAGGGTGAGAGAGACTCAACCAGAAGCACCGACTCGGTAGTCCCTTGAAGTTGTATTTCCCTCATGGATCATGGGGTTTAAGAGGATCATACTTAGGGGTGTAAGGGGTTAGGGTTTAGGGTTTAGGGTTTAGGGTTTAGGGTTAGGAATGGATTTCAGAGCCTTTCAAGGGCCATCTTTGCAGAGAGCGTGGCCCAACCATTGCCCGGGGTCCGTGTCAGGCCTGGTCGGAAGGTGCGTGTCGCAAGGTGACCCCGGACCTGGTCGGGCTGCCAGACACAGCACTTCGGGGTGGCTAAACCCTAAACCCTAAACCCTAAACCCCAAGCCCTAAACCCTGAACCCTAAACCCTAAACCCTAAACCCTAAACCCTAAACCCCAAGCCCTAAACCCTAAGCCCTAAGCCCTAAGCCCTAAACCCTAAACCCTAAACCCTAAACCCTAAACCCTAAACCCCGACCCTAAACCTAAACCCTAAACCCTCCACGACCCCACGTGTTGAACGTAAAGGGCTAGCAGGGCGTTGAGGATTTTGCGAGCCTTCTGGGGTGTCATGATCCCAGAACTGCCACACAAAACGCAGATAAACCCTGAACCCTAACCCAGACCCCTGGGAGGATCCAAAAAATAGAACCCCCAAATGGTACCCTATACTACTATTGGGTCATTCTTAGGAACCCTTAAGGGGATCCATTTTTTGGATCCTCCCAGGGGTCTGGGAATATGCTGGGATTCAGCCGCGGCTTACGAAGGGGTCGGTCGAAGACTTGTCAAGACCCTCCAGAATCCGGGACTTCAGGGCTTCAGGGCTTCTGGGTTAGGCTTTACTGTAGGGCTGAGGGATTGGGATGGTTTCATGGCTGTTTAGCCGCAGAGTTCTGTGGCCCAGACTAACCAAAACCCTAAACCCCCTAAACCCCCTAAACCCCAACCCCTAAACCCTAAGGAGCCTTGCGCCGTGAGCCTGTGGTACGCTAGGGTGTGGAGGGCAGTAGAACCCAAGAGCTCTCCCTTGCAATGCGAACCCCAAACCCTAAACCCGAAACCCTAAACCCTATAGCCATCTAGCAGTTGACTCCAGGTTGAAACGGTTAAATTTAGGGGCTTTAAATTGGAATCCAGCTTCGTGTATCGACCGCCCTCCCAACAAAGAAACGCCCATCCCCTACCTCTCCTTCATAGCACCGTAGTTTTGGACTATCCCTTGCCTGTTAGGTAAGTTCGTCCAGAACCCCAAGAAGAGAACATGGCCCACCTCCCTCAAAAGGGCACGTTCCTCGATGCTGCTGTGACGGAGTCTCCCGAAGAGGCCCAAGCAATCCGCGCGGAGGCCAGCCGCGCAAAAGAGGGGCAAGTCTACGGGTATTGTAGACTTTACAGGCATACACACGTATACCCTAAACCCTAAACCCTGTACACATGTATATGCACGTGGCGTGCGCATGTAAGAGGATCATCTATAAGTTGATTCGACCAAGCATCTGGCAACGGAGCTTCGATTTAGGGTTTAGGGTTTAGGGTTTAGAGTTTAGGGTTTAGGGTTTAGGGTTTAGGTGTTAGTGCTCGAAGATCTCATGAGTCTATTGCCGTGCTGACGACGAAGCCCTACACGTCTGAAGGGCGCAGAATTCAAAGCTCCCAAAGACGAACATTCACCCTACATCCTGAACCTGAATATAGGGTCGAATTACTATTAGTATTCCGTTATGGCATCTTTGTAACTATACTCTAATGACCCCCCAAAACCCTATTCGAATTATTCAGGCCCCTATATTAAGCTCTAAACCCTAACCCCTAACCCCTAAACCCTAAACCCTAAACCCTAAACGCTAAACCCTAAGCCCTAAACCCTAAACCCTAAACCCTAACCCCTAACCTCTTTTCAAGGAAGAGGCACGCAAGCAAGCCGAGCGACAAGAGCGGGCCAGGCGCCTCTCGGGGGGACGTTTCTTGTGTCTCTCTCTTCGTCTCATGGTTTAGGGTTTAGGTTTAGGGTTTAGGGTGTAGGGTCTTCTGTGTCTGACTGTTTCTCTCTGTCTCTGTGTCCCTGTCTCTCTTCAGATCTTTTGGGCGTGTGGTTACAAGGGCTCTGGTGATTTCAGCCGTTTTGCTGGGGTGTCGCGCTTCATTTGTCTTGTCTGGATTGTCGGGCGCAACTGTGCCCTGCATTGTAAAGCCAACGAATACAGGGAGTTTCTCAGACTTTTTGTGCCAAAAGAGCGGCCATTTTGGCAGAGTGAGCACAATCAAGAGAATATCAGCAATTCCGACCAATACTTACACAAAATTGCATTACCTATGAAACGTGTGCGATGTCGCATTGGAGTTTTAGAGATTTAAGGTGTTCGTCTTTGCTGTTGAGGATAACGGAAATGGGAGCATGATCATGCGACAGTGGGTTGGGGCTAACCTTAATTAACCCCAAGTTTTTAGGGGTCACGGAGGTAAACCCTAAACCCTACACCCTAAACCCTAAGCCAGGTGGTGTCCCCCGAGTCCTGATCGCCTGGCGCTGTGGCTTCGGGCGGGCGCAAGCTTGACGCTATGCGATGCAGCGAGGTGCCACGTGCAAGGGTGGTGGGCCTTGGGGCTTCTAGGGTTTAGGGTTTAGGGTTTAGGGTTTAGGGTTTGGGGTTTGGGGTTTGGGGTTTGGGGTTTACGGTTTGCGGTTTACGGTTTAGGGCTTAGGGCTTAGGGTTTAGGGTTGCTCTTTTCCCCGCCTCCGCAGGTACTGTGCTGTAGAAGGAAATGTTGCAGGGAATGCGTCGAAGGGTGCGCGGTGCGCCTTCGCTTGTTGCGGTGGCACGTGGCCAGCGAAGCTCCAGATCATGCAGTGTATTGTTGGAAAGAGCTCTAACCCTTAAGCTAGAATCCTCAGCCTCAAGCCTCATCAACCCAATCTGAGCCTGAAATCCGAGTTCTAATCCTCCACCCTAAAAACTCATTGCACGCTACCTTAGGTCGTAAAACCCCGCTCCAAATCTTGAAGCCTTCAAGCCCCAACTACCCTCCCTCCACCTGTTATGGGCCGGCGACCAGGAGTAATTAAGCCCTGATTCGCGTTTTTAGGGTTTAGGCTCCCTTGTAACCCCCTTTCAACCAAAGCGGGTACAATACCCTTATTCCTAGGAATAGGCTACTCTTGGGTCTAGGGGTTGTGGTAGCATTCCCGAAGCCCGATCAACCCAAATTACCCCAAATGCTGGCGGGGCCCAGACTCTTGAAGCCTCCCTCAGCCCCCAAACCGTAAACCCGAAACCCGAAACCCGAAACCCTAAACCCTAAACCCTAAACCCTAAACCCTATCAGGCAGACTTCTGTAGCTCAGCTCTGTGAGGCGCTTTGCTCTTAAGCTCGTCTGATTTTGGGGGCTTTTTAGGGCTTTTTCGGGTTTAGGGTTCAGGGTTTAGGGGTAGGGAGGGATTATAAGGTTTTAGGTTGAAGGCTTAAAGGGTTTAGGGTTTGCAGGATTTAGGGTTTAGGGATTAAAAAGGTTTAAGAAACAAGGGTTTAGGGGTTTTAGGCTGAAGTTTAAAGGTTACAGGGTTCAGGGGCTTTTAGGTTTAAGGTTAAAGGTTAGAGGGTTTAGGGAATATTTAAGTTTAAGGCTTAAAGGTTAAAGGGTTTAGGGTTTACAGGGTTTAGGGTTTAAAATTTAGGGTTATAAGGCTTAAGGTCTAAGGTTTAAGGTTAAAGGGTTTACAGGGTTTAAAGGGTTTGCAGAATTTAGGGTTTTTGGTCTTTGTTGGCTTTATGGGGTTCGTAGGGCTTACAGGGTTTGCAGGTCTTCTGGGATTATCTAGGGCAACGCGAGTCCACTAGCTCACCTCGTGATTGCCAGGGGCTGTGCCCTTTAAAGGGGACTTAGGGTTAAGGGTTTAGGGTTGACAGTAGGGGTGTTAAGGCATACTCCAGGCATACGGGAGGCCATGTTTCAAAATATTGGTCCATGATTTCATGTTGGCACCCTAACCTTTGTTGATGAATGAAGAAACAGTAACTTGGTGATACCTGGTGTAGCATGTAACAAGGCCCAGGCTGGGCTCACAAGATTAGACAAGCCCCCATGTCTTACTTTAAAAACAGTCTGTTTGCCCAAAAAGATTCCTCCCGCTCCTCTCATCATGCTGGGTCACGCAGTACCTTGCCTTCGGGTTTAGGGGCCTAGGGGGACAACCACGAATACACCGCAATGGCAGGCCAACTGTTCATTACTGTTCATTACTGTCACTGGGATGCCCTTGAGCGGTAACACCTCCCTTCATATTCAACATCATCCCCCCCCCCCCCCCCCCCCCCCCCACCCAAGAAAGAAAAAAACATGGTGTGTAAATGTATGTGGGTGGCTGTCAAAATTATGGTCCGTTTTTGGATCCGTATTTTAATACGGCACCTATAATAGCTAGGGTACCCCAAAAGGGATCATAATTTTGACAACCAGCTATGCGTACATACATGTATAATAAATATAAATATTATTTATATTTACATTTATATATAGCTACATAACGTTCTTATTTTTTCAGGGGGGGGCGTTCATGACAGGCAGCCGTGCTGTGCGTCCGGGAGGCAGCCCAGGAACCCTTTGGGAGAATGCAGGGTTTAGGGTTTAGGGTTTAGGGTTTAGGAGTTAGGGTTTAGGGTTTAGGATTTAGGGTTTAGGGTTTGGATTTTGAGGTTTAGGGTCCATTGTCGTCCCTTGGGAAGTTCTCCTTATACTAACAGTCCGTAGTAGGGTTATATTCGGGGATACGATAATCCCTATTAAGGACTGTTAGTATAAGGGGGAACATCCCAAGTAGTCCCTCTCTATGTACAACAAACAAAGTAAGTATAGGACAACTCGAGGCCAAGTTGCAAATGAGCTGTGAAGACACGGGCCCGAGCTACTATAGGGAGCCTTAATGTTTAAAATAGGGTTTGGGGGTGATTATAGTATACTTATATAGGGGGCCTGAGGGAATGCCATTAGTAATTATTCCGACCCCTATACTACTAATCTAGTAGCTCGAGTCAGCAGTGAGCCTGCTGCGGATGTTCTGGGCTTGCATGGCCTGCATGGCCTCTAAGTCAGTTTTCCCGAACCCTAAACCCTCAACCCTAAACCCCAAACCTAAAAGCGGAGGAGCCCAACTCATCCCCAAAGCTGACTTTTGTTCAGGTCTGGGGATTAGTTTAGGGTTTAGGGTTTAGGGTTTAGGGTTTAGGGTTTAAGGAGGTTTCGGGTTGCGAGGATGCCTTGGAAGCTGCGGCGGCTGCTGATGAGGCGAGCAAGGAGGCCAGAGCAAAGCGGTGAGTTTTGGTGATGGTTTTGCCCTAAGGGTTTAGGGTTTAGGGTTAGGGTTTAGGGTTCAGCAGCTCCGGGTCGAGCAATCTCCAGTAGAGCCGCCGTTTGGGCTCTCGAAAAAAACCCACCCACCCAGAGAATCCCAAAACATTAAGAAATAAAAAGTTTACATTTTTCATCAGCAAGGCCTGTCCTCCAACCTCACTCTGTCATGGCAGGAGGGGGGGAGGGGGCTGGGGGCTGGAGGGAGGGGGGGGGGGGAGGGGGGGCGGGGGGGTGCCGCAGGGGGAGGGAGGGGGGGAAGAAATGACCCTTAGCCACGAAGGAAATGACCCTTAGCCACGAAGAAATGACCCTTAGCCACGAAGAAATGACCCTTAGCCACGAAGGAAATGACCCTTAGCCACGAAGGAAATGACCCTTAGCCACGAAGGAATTTACCCTTAGCCACGAAGAAATTACCCTTAGCCACGAAGAAATGACCCTTAGCCACGAAAAATGACCATTAGCCACGACATGACCCTTAGCCACGAAGGAAATGACCCTTAGCCACGAAGGAAATTACCCTTAGCCACGAAGAAATTACCCTTAGCCACGAAAAAATGGCCCTTAGCACCCAGGAAATGGCCCATAGCGACCAAGAAATGGCCCTTAGCGACGAAGAAATGGCCCTTAGCGAAGAAATTGCCCTTAGCCACGAAGAAATGACCCTTAGCCACGAAGAAACTGACCCTTAGCCACGAAGAAATGACCCTTAGCCACGAAGAAATGAAACGAAAAATGACCCTTAGCCACGAAGGAAATGACCCTTAGCCACGAAGGAATTTACCCTTAGCCACGAAGAAATTAGCCACGAAGAAATGGCCCTTAGCACCCAGGAAATGGCCCTTAGCACCCAGGAAATGGCCCTTAGCGACCAAGAAATGGCCCTTAGCGACGAAGAAATGGCCCTTAGCGAAGAAATTGCCCTTAGCCACGAAGAAATGACCCTTAGCCACGAAGAAATGACCCTTAGCCACGAAGAAATGACCCTTAGCCACGAAGAAATGACCCTTAGCCACGAAGAAATGACCCTTAGCCACGAAGAAATGACCCTTGGCCACGAAGGAAATGACCCTTAGCCACGAAGGAATTTACCCTTAGCCACGAAGAAATTACCCTTAGCCACGAAGAAATGGCCCTTAGCACCCAGGAAATGGCCCTTAGCACCCAGGAAATGGCCCTTAGCGACCAAGAAATGGCCCTTAGCGACGAAGAAATGGCCCTTAGCGAAGAAATTGCCCTTAGCCACGAAGAAATGACCCTTAGCCACGAAGAAATGACCCTTAGCCACGAAGAAATGACCCTTAGCCACCAAGAAATGACCCTTAGCCACGAAATGACCCTTAGCCACGAAGGAAATGACCCTTAGCCACGAAGGAAATTACCCTTAGCCACGAAGAAATTACCCTTAGCCACGAAAAAATGGCCCTTAGCACCCAGGAAATGGCCCATAGCGACCAAGAAATAGCCCTTAGCGACGAAGAAATGGCCCTTAGCGACCAAGAAATGGCCCTTAGCGACGAAGAAATGGCCCTTAGCGAAGAAATTGCCCTTAGCCACGAAGAAATGACCCTTAGCCACGAAGAAATGACCCTTAGCCACGAAGAAATGACCCTTAGCCACGAAAAATGACCATTAGCCACGAAATGACCCTTAGCCACGAAGGAAATGACCCTTAGCCACGAAGGAAATTACCCTTAGCCACGAAGAAATTACCCTTAGCCACGAAAAAATGGCCCTTAGCACCCAGGAAATGGCCCATAGCGACCAAGAAATGGCCCTTAGCGACGAAGAAATGGCCCTTAGCGAAGAAATTGCCCTTAGCCACGAAGAAATGACCCTTAGCCACGAAGAAATGACCCTTAGCCACGAAGAAATGACCCTTAGCCACCAAGAAGTGACCCTTAGCTACGAAGAAATGACCCTTAGCCACGAAGAAATGACCCTTGGCCACGAAGGAAATGACCCTTAGCCACGAAGGAATTTACCCTTAGCCACGAAGAAATTACCCTTAGCCACGAAGAAATGGCCCTTAGCACCCAGGAAATGGCCCTTAGCACCCAGGAAATGGCCCTTAGCGACCAAGAAATGGCCCTTAGCGACGAAGAAATGGCCCTTAGCGAAGAAATTGCCCTTAGCCACGAAGAAATGACCCTTAGCCACGAAGAAATGACCCTTAGCCACGAAGAAATGACCCTTAGCCACGAAGGAAATGACCCTTAGCCACGAAGGAATTTACCCTTAGCCACGAAGAAATTGCCCTTAGCCACGAAGAAATGGCCCTTAGCACCCAGGAAATGGCCCTTAGCACCAGGAAATGGCCCTTAGCGACCAAGAAATGGCCGTTAGCGACGAAGAAATGGCCCTTAGCGAGAAATTGCCCTTAGCCACGAAGAAATGACCCTTAGCCACGAAGAAATGACCCTTAGCCACGAAGAAATGACCCTTAGCCACGAAGGTGTATAGGGTTTAAATATATATGGTAAGAGAGGTTTAGGGATTAGGGTTTAGGGTTTAGGGTGTAAGGTTTAGGGTTTAGGGTTGAGGGGTCCCTGGACCTCAGTATCATATACTTGGGCCCCAAAGTCCCAACACAAGAAGTACTTCCCTATTCAGGTACATGGACCCTTAGGGATTGGGGTGTTCACAGTGCGCGGCTTGGAGCCTAAACCCTAAACCCTAAACCCTAAACCCTAAACCCTAAACCCTGAACCCTGAACCCTGAACCCTAAGCCCTATAAGCCCGAAACCCTAAGCCTTAAACCCTAAACCCTAAGCCCTTTTTTGAAACATGGTTGCTGATATTGGGTGACCTGCAGAGCATAGGCTGGGTTTGGGGTTTAGGGTTTGGGGACAAGAACAGGCAGAAGTGGTGTAAGCGATGCTGTATTTTGATGTCAGCCGCGCCAAACAACCCGGCCAGCGACTTCGCTTTTGAGCGTAAGGTTCGAAAAACAGGCCTTGTCATCAGTTCGAGAAACGCCGCATGTGTTCCCTGACTGGGCTGCTTTAAGTTCCACCACAGCCTGCACAGGCCCACGTGCTCTGGGGTTAATGGGACGATGCATCTGTAGCTTTGCTTAGTTTACATACAGCACTAAACCGTATGAATCCGATAACTCCTATAATATCAACCCCTAAACCCTAAACCCTAAACCATAATTAACCCTAAGCCCTAAACCCTAAACCCTAAACCCCCTATCAGGAAGCGACAGACGACAAAGCATGTCGTGCCCAGGAGCTGGACCGGGCCTTGGACCTTGGGTTCAGGGTTCAGGGCAGGGTTTAGGGTTTAGGGTTTAGGATTTAGGGTTTAGGGTTTAGGGTTTAGGGTTTACGGTTTACGGTTTAGGGTTTAGGGTTTAGGGTTTAGCGACCCTGGGTGCCCAACTTGAAGACACCACTCCTAACTTAGGAGTTGTTGCTAAACTTTGTCTGGGCTAAACCCTAAACCCTAAACTCTAAACCCTAAACCCTAAACCCTAAACCCTAAACCCTAACCCTAAACCCTAAACCCTAAACCCCCATACAGGGGAGGAGCTCAAGAGCATTTGGGGCCAGCCAAAGCCGAAGCCAGCAAAGGACCTGCAATCCCACATTCTTAGTAGCTGAGTCAGTACACTTTACACTTTTTGGGGTACTATAACACCCTAAAGAACTGAAAGTGTACACTTTTTTGGGGGCGTATGAACTCAGCAACTAAGCATTTCCAGACGTCACGAAGCAGTCCTAAGCCGAGTGGTTCTTAGTCGGGAAGTAGGGACTTAGGTAACCTGTACGATCCCTTAACCAGTCAAAGGGCCTATGCTTGATGTTAGTAGGGATACATTTGGTTTCGAATTGATGGTACTTTGTTGGGTACCCTCAATAGGAGGGGCCGCCTTCGAATAAGGGACCCCATTTTAGAGAAGTGACCACACAAACTGTAAACCCCCACAAGTCCCAAACCCCGAAGTCCTAGGCCCGAACCCTTAAACACCCAAACCTGTAAACTCAACCCGAAACCCTAAACCCCAAAATTCGCCTCAGTTGCTCTAAGGGGACCCGCCATGTCCCTGAGCCCTAGAAGCCCCAGAATCTTTTACCTGGCCTCCAAATTTTGCGACAATGTTTAGGGTTTAGGGCTCAGGGCTAAGGGTTAGACGTCAGCCCCAGAAATATATAAATTGGCATGCGCAAGCTGCAAGCCATCTTGAAGGGCAAATCGGGGGTCTATGGGCAAACCCTGTAAGCCTCTAAACCCTAAACCCTAAACCCTAAACCCTGAACCCTAAACTACCCCTAAACCCTAAACTATCCCTAAACCCTAAACTACCCCTAAACCCTAAACCCTCTAAGCCTCCTACACCCTGAACCCTAAATCGTGAACCGACCTCCCAAAGACCCAGGACGAAGGCTGCGCAGCAGCTCTTCGGTTCATACTCTCTGAGGCGTTCTTGTGTGTTTAGGGTTTAGGGTTTAGGGTTTAGGGTTTAGGGTTTAGGGTTTAGGGTTTAGGGTTTAGGGTTTAGGGTTTAGGGTTTAGAGTTTAGGGTTTAGGGCGTGTGTGTGTGTGTGTGTGGCGTGAGGCTTTAGGACGTGGGCGGTTTTGGATCTATACCTAGATCCCACCCACCCCACCCACCCACCGCATGTCGGTTTATAGGATGCTAGGGGCCTTCGGGAAGGGGGTTGCAGGGTTTTGCAGCGTTCGACTTATCTGAAAGGCTAGGGGTTCTGAAGGGTGTTGCTGCACCGGCACTACACGGAGCTCATGCCCACAATTTTGGCTCAAGGAGCTCGCTGATGACATATGGTGGTTTACGAAATTAGGGTTTAGGGTTTAGGGGTTTAGGGCTTTAGGGCTTTAGGGCTTTAGGGCTTTAGGGGTTTAGGGGTTTAGGGGTTTAGGGGTTTAGGGGTTTAGGGGTTTAGGGTCCCACATGACAGGCATGCAAGCCCAAGGCCCCCCAATCCCGGACAGCAAGCTCCGGACCACGACATTGGCAGATACGCAGATTGGGCTCTCAGGGGATGGTGAGGGCTCAGAAGGTAATTCCCACAACTTAGCCTTTTAGGGTTTAGGGTTTAGGGTTTAGGGTTTAGGGTTTAGGGTAAAAACACAGCGTATTACGGGAACGGATCTTGAAGCTCACGTCCTGTACTAGTTCCAGCCGGGCTCGCCCTCGAGCACATGGCGGCAACTCTCAGGAGAAGGAGCTCATGGGGTCCTGTGTGCGTGGTGGGTCTCCTGTCCTTGCTTTTTCTCCTGTCTTGCGCCCCTTGCTTCGCAACAGCTGCACCTCGGCAACCGCTGCTGGGAACTCACATGAGGCCCCATGATCTCCGAACACCCGCCAGAGCTCAGGCCCAGCTAGGCCAAGGGCAGGTTACCCTGAAATCTCTGAGAGAGGTGGCTGGCTCCTTCATCTCCTTCCGCATGTTGCTGAGCTTTCTCGCTGGATCCCTTATCGGATCTCTCCAGTACCTCTGCGTCATCTCAAGGCATCTCCAGGAATGCGAGATGACGCTGAAAGCGGATCGTATGGCCCGGCACTACCTTCGGCCATCGGGAAACTCGTTGGGCTGGTGCACGTGGGCTGCCTCATCAGCATGGACATGGCTCTTTGCGGACGTTTCGCGCAAAGCATCCTTGCTGGAGACGACAATCAAGGCTTCCTCTGGGCTTCTCCTAGGAATTCTTGGCGTGCAGCTGTTGTGGACTAGCATCTCATGGCTCAAGGGGAGTGCAGAAGATGAGAAGATTGGGATACGCATGTGGAAGACCATCGTGATCTGGGTGGGTGCAGTGGGGGCCAGCAGCGCTTGCTGCAACTTCGCCCTTCACAAGCTGTGCGTGCGATCTTCTTGGACGGGGCTGCCCTACAACGACGAAGGCCACGTGCTCTGTGCTCTTTTCTCCATCTTGGGCGGGGGCGCCGCGTCAGCCATCCTGTCTAGTGGGCTTCGGAACATACAGGATCGATGGGCAGATCATCTGCTGCTGCTCTAAATTCGCCTTTTTCTGTTGAAGGATGCAAGTTCTGGGCAATTCTACTTGTGGCCGCTGGACTATGCGACCAGTGCTGGTCAATTTGTGCCGATTGACCCCTGCAAAGCGACAACAAAGCTGAAGATTTTTTGCCCTCGACTCACAGCCTTAATCGATTATTTGCTTATTACCACCCGGAAAACAGAAAAATGTTCATTTTGAGGGTAGTCTGTGGATCATTGCCTTCTATTTGTTGGGGGCCCTTAAGCAAGTCGTAGGAATGCGCATTCAACTGGTCTCGCGATGCTTTCCGGACCATTTCAGATTGGGATGATCCCCCTTATACTGACAGTCCTGAATAGTAGGGATCATAGTACCGCCTACTATAATCCCAATTAGGCGCTAAATCCGAAACCCTAAACCCTATAAACCCCCTGTCGTACCCCTACTAAGGAATGCTAGTATCAGGTGCGAACATCCCAAGTGTCAGGTGTTGACTTGAGGTGCTCGGCTCCGAGAACTTACTAGGACCCGGAGTAGGCCTATATTTTCCTTTTTTCGGGGCTGGTGTTCCCCTATATTCCCCTTAAAACCAAAAAAGGGTCACCCTAAACCCTAAACCCAAAGGCTCTTTCCTAGGTAACTCCTGGGTCTAGCTTATGTCAGCTCGTGAACCTGAGATCACTATAGAGGGTCTAGAGGGTTTAGAGGGTTCAGAGGGTTTATAGTTTTTTATAGGGTTTTATAGGGTTTTACAGGGTTTAGGCCATTTGCAGGCACCTGCCACCGTGCTCGTGGAAGATGCCTTGGGCAGGCCGCGCCGAGTTGGTGGTTTAGGGTTTAGGGTTTAGGGTTTAGGGTTTAGGGTTTAGGTTTTAGGTTTTAGGGTTTAGGGTTTAGGGTTTAGGGTTCATGGTTTAGGGTTCAGGGTTTGGGGGACCTCTGCCTTTCTAGTGATAACCAACACTATATTTAGGGGGTTTACGAAAGTAGGGTTCCCCTCATATAGGTCCCCAAATAGTAGGCTTCCCTTATAATATGGACCCCAAGAAGGTACCCCTAATATCGGAAACCCACATTTGATGATGACATGATGTGAGGTTTTTTGGAAGTCATAGCGCAGGATGCAAGATGACTTGACAGAACATGATGCAATACCACATGGTCACATCTGGTAGAAAAGCAGACTGTATGTACATAGAATACAGCTCACATAGCTGGATTTGACCTTAGGAGCCTATTGCTTTCACCAGAAGCCTCTGCGCCCAGCTCACACCCAACTTTGAAACTGCAACCCTAAACCCTAAACCCTAAACCCTAAACCCTAAACCCTGTACTCTCAACCCAAAGGCCGGCAACCCTAAATCTCAGAGCGCTCGACCTCACACACAAAAGACAGCCACACACAAACAAAGGGTCGGAGTATTTACGACAAGCATTCCCTGGGGGCCCCCATATACAGATACTATACGAAGCCCCCCGATATGGAGATTTACGATCTTAGGGGTACCTTATTGGGGCCCTTTGAGGGGGAGATCCTCATATTTGGGGTCGAAATTAGGGGGCTCCTTAGTTTTCGTAAGCCCCCATAACACACTCACACACACACACAAGCACACAAGCACACACCCTTGAAGCTGTCCACTCCTCGAGCAGGAGCTGCATCGTCATCATGGCCGAGGCAGGTTTTGCTGTTTTGGGGGGTTTAGGGGTTTAGGGGTTTGGGGTTTAGGGTTTGGGGTTTAGGGTTTAGGGTTTAGGGTTTAGGGTTTAGGGTTTAGGGTTTAGGGGGATGTTCGGAGCTGCGGTATGCGGCAGAGGTTTCAGGGCTTGGGGCCGAAGTTCGTTGCTTCGCGACAGGCCCTGGAGGGTCGGCTTCAAGCGCCAACTAATGTTCAGGGTTTAGGGTTTAGGGCTTAGGGTTTAGGGTTTAGGGTTTAGGGTTTAGGGTTTAGGGTTTAGGGTTTAGGGTGCAGATCTACGGATTACTATCGCAGATACCAGCTATCAGAAGTTCTGCCATAACCTGCTAGTCACCCTGAGCCCTTAAACCGAAAAACCGAACCCCTTACCTCAGCCTATTCCCCCAAAAGCCCGAACGATAGGCCCCCAAAGCCCCTAAACCCTAAACCTCAACACCCCGGGTTGGGTTGTAGCCTGGACTTACTTTAACCCCCGAATCCCCACCTAATCCCGCCTAAAACCCTAACTTCAAACCCTAGCCCTACAGCCCCTAATGTAAAACCCTGGAAGCCCCAAAACCCCGTAAAACCCTCAAAGCCCTGAAACCCCTGAAGCCCCCAAAGCCCCTAAAGCCCTAAAGCCCTAAAAGCCCTAGAAGCCCTAGCGCCCCTAAGCCCCTAAAGCCCCAAAACCCCCTAAAACCCTAAAAGCCCTAAAACCTCCCAAAACCCCTAAAGCCCAAAACCCTAAACGCCCTGAACAACCCTAAACGCCCCAGTAGCTGAATGAGTGCACTTTACACTTTTTGGGACGCTAGAACCCTCTATAGAACTGAACGTGTACATTTTTTGGGGCTTACGAACTCCACTCAAACCCTAAACCCGAAACCCTAAACCCTAAACCCTAAACCCTAAACCCTAAACCCTCTAAATCTTTTGGGATACTAGACGCCCCTAAAAAGTCCTGAAGGCCTTCGGCTTCATCGCAGATCTTCCGAAGCCAAATTTGGGGGAGGCCAGAGCCTGTAGGGTTTAGGGTTTAGGGTTTAGGGTTTAGGGTTTAGGGTCTAGGGTCTAGGGTCTAGGGTCTAGGGTCTAGGGTCTAGGGTCTAGGGTTTAGGGTTTAGGGTTTAGGGTTTAGGGTTTAGGGTTTAGTAGGGAGTTTACATGGTCCCTGGCTAAGGATTATTTAGGGTAAGTTAGGGTTTCGGGTAATTTAGGGTAAGTCATTAAGGGAAGTTGCATGGTCCCTTCATGTGGGTTTGGGGAGTAGGGTTTAGGATAATTTCGGGTAAGTTAGGGTTTTGGGTTTCGGGTTCAGGGTGTAGGGTTTAGGGTATGGTCCCTTCTCTTCTTTAAGGGGCTCTGAACCAGTAGAGTAATAGGACCTTCGATGTTCTAGGGTATGAGGGGTATAAGGCTTCCCCAATTATGGGCCCATTTTCAGGGATCATGCAAGCTGCCGCATGATATAGTGCACAACGGCCCAGACATGAAGTCTGGACAGGTGGTCATCCTTTAGTAAGGATTATTGCACTTTGGGGTTTAGGGTTTAGGGTTTAGGGCGAGCCCCCCCCCCCCCCCTCCAAAGAATTCGACTCTTCGCGAAGGAGCCGAAGGCCACGTGCGGCGCTCAGGGGCCGTGTCTAGGTAGCGAGACATATACCATGGAACATGCTCCGTGTAGAGGTATAGCGATATATATGGTATGTGTTAGAACATGCTATCCATGTAAAATGGCGACTGAAGAAGCTTATATTAATGTCTGTTTGATATCATAGTGCATTGCATTACAATATGCTTCGTGGTATAAACCTATTGCGTGTTGCAATATATATATATATATATATGTATATATATACAATGTCCCACACTGCTCTTTTCTCGTCTCTTCTTTGATGCATTATAGTATCAGACATGTATGCCCGGCAATCTGCTCATTTTGTCTCCCCTTTATCTGCTACGGGTTTGGTTGCTCGTACAGGCACCCCCAAAGCCCTAAACCCTAAACCCTAAACCCTAAACCCTAAACCTAAAGGGTTTGGCGTTCAGGGTCCAGGGTTTAGGGTATGTACCTATGTAAGTCCGTGACTGTTGCGGCACCTGGTGCGTTGTGTTTCGGGTTTCGGGGTCTGGCTTCAGAGTTTGCCAAAAACAGGGAATATACCCCCAAATCACTACCCAAATCACTACATTCCTTGGTAAAGGAACCACCAAAAGGCGCACCCCCTAAACCCTAAACCCGAAACCCTAAACCCTAAACCCCATTTCGGGAAGTCACCCAGCCCAGAGCCCCCAGGCTTCGCGCCCTTTGTGACGGAATCGGGCTCTGCTTCTCCAAATCACCTTCCACCCTGCTGTGGTGTTTGAGGCGCGCGGGTTTAGGGTTTTAGGGTTTTAGGGTCTTTTTTTGGGGTTTTAGGGTTTTAGGGTTTTAGGGTTTTAGGGTTTTAGGGTTTTAGGGTTTTAGGGTTTTAGGGTTTTAGGGTTTTAGGGTTTTAGGGTTTTAGGGTTTTAGGGTTTTAGGAGGGTTTAGGGTCGCCAGCTCTTACCCCCGCATGCTTCTGGATGGCAGAGCAAGTAGAGGGGTTAAGTCCCAAGAAGATCTTGGGGACTACATGAACCCTCAAAGAGTTTATGGGCCGTTTTTGCCTTAGTAGGTACTATAACCAATAGCAGAGTTAGGGTATATGACTGAAATTGTAGGGTTTAGGGTTTAGGGGTTTAGGGTTTAGGGTTTAGGGTTTAGGGTTTAGGGTTTAGGGTTTAGGGAGGGTTGCTTGGTCCCCGAGGATCTTGCCGGCACTGGCGGAGCACAAACCATGGTATTGTAGACAGCGTGGCAGCCTCTCGTTCGTTCCGGTTATGACGGCATGGCTATGTCTGGTGTAGGGTTAAGGTTCAAGGGTCAAGGGTCAAGGGTTTAGGATTCAGGGTTTAGGGTTTAGGGTTTAGGGTTTAGGGTTTAGTTCAGGGTTAGGGTTTAGGGCTATGGTGATAAAGAACGATTTCATCTTCAGTGTGCACTCGATTGCTCTGGTTGACCAGTGTGAGGTGGAGTGACTGCCGGGTTTAGGGTTTAGGGTTTAGGGTTTAGGGTTTAGGGTCTATCCGTCGCACGTAAGCCCTAAACACAAAGCCCTGCAAACTCCACAGCAGGAAGGGCCCAAGCTTGGCGCGAAGAGCTCGTCAAGCCAGGTAGCAGCAGGTGACAGTGCTTTAGGGGCCATACTTGAGGAAGATTTCTTGAATCAGCCGCTGTAGCAGCAATGTTGCGGATTCAGATGATGGCTACTGGCCAAGCGGTGGCTTGCCTGGAGCTGGAGGAGTTGTTGAGGGCTGCCGGCGACACTGCTACGGGCCACGTGCGCGCCTTAAAGCTCCATCTCCAAAGGCTCTGTGGACATCCCCGGTTTCGACAACGGCTCGTGCAAGAAGATGGGCAAATTATACCCGACGAGGCAGTTCTGCAAACACCTTGCCTGTTGGACCTACTAATTCTGGACTTTGCCGAGACTTCTGTCGATCATATTGACAGGCTGTTCCGTGCAGTGGAAGCAGACGACACAACACAACTAGAAACAATCTTGCAGCGACCCCAAGATCCAACCCACCAAAGAGCGCAACACAACACGACAGCCTTACATGTTGCTGCTAGGTCTGGCAGCAAGGTCGCCACAAGGTTGCTGCTGGAAGCTGGTGCAGGAACCGACCCAACTGAAGACCAGGGAGCCACGCCTCTTTTCATCGCAGCTCAAAGAGGCCACTCGGAAGTGGCACGTTTGTTGTTGGAGTTTGGTGCGGACAAGGACATGGCAAATGCGCATGGAGCCACGCCTCTTGTCTTCGCAGCTCAGAACGGGCACTTGGTAGTGGCACGCTTGTTGTTGGAGTCTGGTGCAGACAAGGACATGGCGAATGTAGATGGAGCCACGCCACTTCTCTTCGCTGCTCAGAACGGCCATTTGGAAGTGGCACGCTTGTTGTTGGAATTTGGCGCGGACAAGAACACAGCAAATGCAAATGGAGCCACGCCACTTTTCTTCGCAGCTCAGAGGGGCCACTTGGGAGTGGCACTCTTGTTGTTGAAATTTGCTGCGGACAAGGACCTGGCCACAGCAGATGGAGACACACCACTTTTCGTTGCTGCTCAGAAGGGCCACTTGACAGTGGCACGTTTGCTGCTGGAGTTCGGTGCGGACAAGGACATTGCCCGTTCAGACGGAACCACGCCACTTTTCATCGCAGCTCAGAACGGCCATTTGGAAGTGGCACGCTTGTTGCTGGAGTTTGGTGCCGACAAGGATCTGGCCTGTTCATATGGAGCCACGCCACTTTTCATCGCATCTCAGCGCGGGCGCTTTCCAGTGGCACGTTTGTTGCTGAAGTTTGGTGCGGACAAAGACCTGGCGCTTTCAAATGGGGCCACGCCACTTTTCATCGCAGCTCAAAACGACCACTTTCACGTGGCACGCTTGTTGCTGGAGTTTGGTGCGGACAAGGACCTGGCACGTTCAGATGGGGCCACGCCTCTTTTCGTCGCAGCTCAGAGCGGCCACTTGGAAGTGGCGCGCTTGTTGATTCAGTTTGGTGCGGACAAGTACCTGGACCGTTCAGACGGAGCCACGCCACTTTTCATCGCAGCTCAGAACGGCTACGTGGAAGTGGCACGCTTGTTGCTGGAAGTGGATGCCGATAAGGACCTGGACCGTTCAGATGGAGCCACGCCACTTTTCATCGCAGCTGACGGCGGCCACTTGGAAGTTGCACGTTTGTTGCTGGAGTTTGGTGCGGATAAGGATCTGGCCACAGCAGATGGAGCCACTCCACTTGGCATCGCAATTCAGAAGGGCTACTTCAAAGTGGCCGATGTGTTGATGAAGTTTGGTGCGGACAAGAACAAGCTTGTTACAAAAACGGCTTAGGGTACTCTATGGAAGTACCGGGGGACTTGCTAGGTCGGTATCAAACGCGCGGCAAACAACAGCGCAATCTTGCCAATCCTGCTCAAGAGCAGCTTATGAAATCCCCCAGCCCTAAACCCTAAACCCTAAACCCTAAATCCTTCAGACCCTAAACCCTACACCCCCCATCCTCCGAAGTAGGTTCGCGAGAGAGCCCAACCCCCCAGCCCCAACCCCCCCAACACCACATAGGTTCCCCTAAACCCTAACCCTAAACCCTAAACCCTAAACCCTAAACCCTAAACCCTAAACCCTAAACCCTGAACCCTGAACCCTAAACCCTAAACCCTAAACCCTCAAGGCCCTTGAAGGAGATCCTTTGGCAGTTGGCAGGGATCCTAGGAAGGCTCAAGACGTCAAGACCCCCCAAATCCACCAAAAAGAGCCCTCTTACCCTAAACCCTAAACCCTAAACCCGAAACCCTAAAAGCCCTAGTCCCGGCGACTCTGAGCAAGTTTTGGTGGGCTGGTCAATGGAGCCCCTCCACGTGGGCCCAGCGGGGCGGCCGTCCTCAGTGGCCGCAGCGAAGACTCCTACTCGTGGTTTGGTGAGCGTTGCCTTGCGCAGTCTGTCACCAGTGTTGCAGCGCAGGTTTGATCCTTTCCGAGCCACAAGAGTGGGGGAAGCTACGAATCCAGGTCCGGCAGGTCTGAGAAGGACACGCCGCAAGGCCAAAGCCAAGGATATCAACATTGGCCAGCTGCTGGGTCTTCTCCAGCAGTTGCTCAAGATGCTTGGAGGCAATGGAGCCCAGCTTGCACAGCTGGCGCAGCTTGCCAAGCTACTGCATCCAGGTACTGCCGAGGTAAGGTCTGAGGTCACTGCCCCGCCTGCACCTGCACCCCGTAAGGTTACCCTAGGTAGTCCCCAGGTTGAACCTGCGCCAGTCCCAGCTGCACCTACGCCTGGCCCTGAGTGGCAGGAGGTGCGCCGCCGCAAGCAAAAGCCTGCAGCCCAGCAGGGTGACCCTGCGCGTGCCTCAGGCGAGCCGCCTGCTCCTGAGCCCTCCCCTTCTGCGAAGCCCAGTCCGCCTAAGCCCGCCCCGGCGGCTGCACTGCGCTTACGACCCCAGGATTGGGATAGTGAGATTTTGTCTCTTGCTCAACTTTATGCCAAGCTTGACGCCAAGACCGACGCAGTCAAGGCGGTGGTACTGGCCACCACGCAGGAGCAGCTTGAAGAGCTGTGTACGGCTGTAGCTGCACATGCGAATCTCCGAGTTGCAGTTATGGCAGTAACCTTTGGGGACTGGAAGTGGACACGCCATGCTGCCGAGCAGGCCGACCACACATCGGTGAACCTTCAAGCCCTTATGGGCACCGCAACCGTGACGCGCAAGGCCCGTCTCCACCAGCTGGGTGCCCAGAACTGCCCCAAACTGAAGCAGATCACCCGCAAGGCTACTGGAGTCGCCAAACCAGCAACAACCGAAGTGCTTCGTTTCATCACTGATGCACGCTTTGTGTCAGCCCAAGCCTGGGCGGAGCTTCGCACCAAGCCTGCGCATTCCATTCGTGCCTGGGCGGCTGCCCACATCCCCACTGACGTTCTGGCAGTAAAGGATATGTGGGGGTTTAAGGTTGCAGGGGATGTTGAGTCCCCGCGCGCTGTGCTGTCTGGCCTTGTTCGGGTCCAGGCTGACAAGGTCCCAATGCTTTTGGCTTTAAGTGGTCGGGATAGGTGGTTTGTCTCGAAGCCTGGTTCTAAGGATGCCGTCAGTTGGATCAAGCGTGGTACTGATGAGCTGCATCAGGACTATCTTGATAGGGTTTATGCCCAGTGCAAAGGCAGGGGGGTAGCACGCGGTGATACCAGCCTTGGCGTTCGCTTGACTGCTGAGGAGGCTGCCAGCCGAGGCACGGTAGAGCCCATACGCACCTACAAAGTTTGGCCTGTGCCACGAGACTGGTCTCAGGAGACGCTTGAACATGAGTTAGAGCAGTTCAAAATGCAGAACCTCACGTTCTTGGCGCGCCACCCCTGCAAAGGCGGTGTCAAGTTCTTGTACCGGGCCAAGGCGGCCGATGTCGACCTCGCTGTAATTGAGCATGATAAAGGAGCCATACAGGTAGTCATGCAGCACCATGCCCCCCGCCGGGGCAACCCTGTGCCCATCAAGGCAGGACGCGGTGCGTTCACTGCGCCCCCCGTCCAACACAAGCCCATCCCTGCCCCAGTGCCTCCTCCTGCGGAAGCCTCGCAGTCTGCTGCCCCGGCTGAGGGCCATGAGCGTCCTGCGGCCCAGCCCGCGCCTGCCAAAAGGCTTGCTGTGGGGGCCCCTGCGCCCCGTGTCCATGCGCTCCCAGAAGGTCTGACTCGCGTGTCAAATCCTGGACAAGGGGATTGCCTCTTCTATGCCCTGGAAAAGGCGACTGGTACCAACAAGCTTGCGCTGCGCTCTGCTAT